ATTGGTTATGAGCCAACCAGAGGACTCATCATAAATGCATTTGTTGCTTAACCTGATGATCTGATTTTTATCTTTGGAGATCACATGGTAGAAGGAGAAAATTGGGTCCTGTGAGTGGTTGGTCCTCTGACCTATGGCACATACCCTGCTGTGTGTGTGTATTTGTGTGCATGTGCGTGTGTGTGTGCGCGTGTGTGTGTGTGCAAATTTTAAAATGCAAAAAAATAAAATGTATTAAATATATCTATTGGCCTTATTTCCACTCTGAGGGTAAAGATACATGGAATTTGAATTGCTTTTCCACATGCCAATCATTCCTCCTTTTAGGATAAATCGTCTTGGCTCTTCCAACTATTCCTCATATGAGAAGAGCAATCATCTTGATTGCTCTTCTGAGGACATGAAAATTTGTCAGTGTTCCTCTCAAAATGTGTTTGGAACTGGAGGTAGAATTCATTATGCTGAACTGAATGTAAATGTTCCACATCTGGACACTAACACAGTTTGAAGGCTGTGAGTTTTTTAGCAGCCATGTAATGTTGGCTTGTAATGAATTTGCAATTAACTAAAATCCCAAGGTTTTAAACTGGAAGTTCGCCTTTATATGACTTCATTCTAAATCATTTCTTCATTTTCCTTAGTTATACAACTTTAATATATATATAATTTTGCATATTTCTGTATTAAATTTTTTCTCACTCGCTTATCAAGTAGCCTTTTGTTTCTTTGAATCTCTTGCTTAATCATCTAGCTTATGCTGAGTCAACAAAGAACTTTGAACATTATTGTCAGAATGTTTTCAAACATCTGGAAAATGCTAGTCAAAAGTATCTAAAACTGTTCCAAAAAATTGCTCAGAGATAGATAAAAGTCAGCTCTTAAGGGATATATGAATACTAGTGAAAATTGGCAAGGCCACGCAAGTCTAAAATTTATTGTCATCTTTCAAGAGAGGCCTTTTTTAAAATATTGCTCAAAAGGAAATTAATGTTCTATGACATACTGTGTTAACATAGTGCCCAAAGTTCTGCATAAGTCTTCCCAAGATCTCAGAAAATTAGTGTATAGAGGCACACAAGACATCATGACCATTCTGAGGTGTGTGTGTATTTGTGTTTTCAGAAGGGCCTCATTATGTAGCCCAGGCTGGTCTCTAATTCAGTGTCCCCTACCTCAGCCCCCTGAATGTAGTCTTTAATATGTGTGTGTGTGTGTGTGTGTGTGTGTGTGTGTGTGTGTGTGTGTATTCTTTAATGTATACATAGTTTGTTGCTTAAAATTATTTTTTCATGTGCATTGGTTTTTTGCCTCCATATATGTCTGTGTAAGGGTATTGAATCCCCTAGAAATGGGATTGCAAACAACTGTGAGGTGCTGGAAAATGAACCCTGGTCCTCTGGAAGAGCAACCATTGCTCTTAATTACTGAGCCATCTCTCTAGCCCTTAAAATATATTTTTAATTGACACAGTAATTATGTGTATATGATACAGTGTCATGAGTTTCACTACCTGGGAAATATATACTGAATCAGATCAGAGTAATATTCATTATAATTTCAGACATTTATTTTTTTTTGAATATCTTTGAATTCAGAATGTTCAAAACTTGTCTGTTAACTAAAGTATCTGGTTAGTTATTTTCAAACCACAGTTTTTCTAGTTTACTACAGAACATTAGTAATCAGGACTGAGTAGTTGGCTAAGTAGGGAAACCATTTGCTATGACCATATGAGGACCTGAGTTTTGTTTCCCAGGACTCAAATAAATGCTTGGTGGGCATAATGGCATACCTCTAATTCCAGGAGGAGACAGGCTTTGCAGGGCATGCTGGCTAACAGGCTGGACATTGTCAGTAAGTCTAGGTTTTATTTAGAGATCTTGTCTCAACAAATAAGATGGAAGGGAAATTTGGGGTGATTCCCAACACCAGCATTAGGCTTCCACATGCACAGGCCTGCACTTGCATATTCACCCACACACATGAAACAGGAAAAAGAAAAGAAAAGGAATTCCTTGTCCTGCAGGGCTTGGTGGTACATGTCTGTAATCCCAGGTCTCTGGAGGCTTGGGCAGTAAATATGAGGTCAGCTTGGATATGTAGTGAAACTCTGTCTCCAAACAAAACGGAAAAAAGTAAGTTACTTCTGTTCAACTATATACCCTTGTACCCATTAACCTTTTAGCTTCCACATATGTACCTAACATGTTTTACTTCACATAATTTCATCCAGTTCTATTCATGTTTCTGCCAGTGGTAAAATTTTAATCTTTTTAACACTAAATAGTATTTTGTATACATATACTACATTTTTGTCTGTTCAACAGTGATTTCCTAAAGCTGATTCCTCATACAAACCGTACTATAATAAATGTGCAAATACAGGTAGTCTCTTCAGCATACTGATTTCACTTCCCTGGATGTATGCCCAGTGGTGAGACTGCTAGATCCTGAGTTAGGACTACCTCTGCTTTCTTTGTTTTTGAGATTGTATATCACAGGCTGGCCTAAAACTTGTTATGTAGCTGAGAATGAGCTTGCAATTCTGAGATTACTACATGGGAAATATATACTGTACAGAAATAGATATGTACAGATTATTGTACCACTGCACCCCGTTTAGGTAGTGCTAAGAATTAAACCCAGGGATAGTTAAGTACTCTACTACATTAGCAACATCCCCATCGTTGTCTAGTTGGTTTTGAAACTTATTTTTAATTTTGTGTGTGTGTGTGTGTGTGTGTGTGTGTGTGTGTGTGTGTGTATGTATCTGTGGGTGTGCGCATGTAAGTGTAAGTGCCCAAGGAGGTTGGAGGCATTAGATCCTGTGAAAGTGAAGTTACAGGTGGTTGTGAGCAGCCTGATGTGGCTATAGATGCTGGGAACTGAACTCGGGTGCTTTGCAAGAGCAGTAAATGCTCTTAACTGCTGAGCCACTTCCCCAAACCCCAACTCTGTCTTGTTTTTGAAGAGACTCCATTTAGGAGCTAGAGAGATGGCCCAGTGCATTGCCAAGGCAGAAGCTGACTAGATCAGCCCAGTCAGTGAGCTCTGGTTCAACTGAGAGATTTTGCCTTAACAAAGTAGAGAATAGTAGAGAATAATAGATATCCATGCACATGCATGCATACCAGGCACACATTTATACAAAAATCAAAAGGGTGGTAATGGCGCACACCGTTAATCTCAGCACTTGGGAGGCAGGCAGATCTCTGTGAGTTCAAGGCCATTGTGATCTACAGAGTGAGTTTCAGTATAGCCAAAGCTACATAGTGAGGCCCTTTCTTGAAAAACTGAAACAGAACAACAACAACAACAACAACAAAAAAGCAAAAAGAACCTCCATTTTGTGTTTCATAATGGCTGTGCTAGCTTACATTCCTCTTTGCAGGTCCCTTTTTTCATATCCTCAGCAACATATGTTAGTCTTTGTCTTTCAAATAATAGCTAGTCTTATAGGTGTGAGGTGATATCTCATTGTGGCTTTAATTTGTATTCTCCTGGTGTTTAATATGGTGGTTGGCTATTTGTAAATCCTCTTTTGAGAAATATCCAGATACGTATTCATCTTTACATCAAAATTTTCATTTTTGCTGTTATTTGAGTTTTAGCCATTTGTTTATTTTTCATTTGACAAGCATACTGAGGACAGTATGGCATTGTGGAAGATTCTGAAGAAGCAGAACCAGGTTTGTCTTGTAGGTAGGGTGACCACATGTTCTTTTGACTGGTATGCCTAAGGTGACTATGATTTCCACTTGTAGTATTGTGCAATTAATAGTAGCATCATTTTGCAATTTACTGGGTTAGAGGACAACTGTCTTACCACTCTTCCCATAATGTAGCTGACTCCTTTTGGTGTGTTATTTGGGCTAAACATTACATAGTTGTAATTGGACAACTGTAATGAGGCTGCTAAATTCTCTCCCATTTAAACAGACTGTTCCTTGACCAACAGAAATTGATAGCAAAAGTAATCTCAATTACTATCCATAAATATTAAGCCTTTATCTGCCTGGCAGTTTTGGGTATGTGGGGTGTGTATGTGTGTTTGTGTGCATAAAATAAGGAGTGGTCCATTTCCAGCAAAAGTGGGCTCTGCACATGAAAATGAGGAAGCATTTAATATCCTTAACATGCTGGACCCAATTTTGTGAATACTTTCTTTGTTTGCTTAATACTTTTATTTGTTCTTTGAGAACTTTATACATTGCATTTTGGTCATTGTCACCTACCTTTTCAACTCCTCCCAGATTCACCATGTGACTTTGTCTTCCTTTTTTAAATTTGTGCTTCCTATGTATTCTTGGGTATGGCATTCACTAGAGTATCTTTTTTTTTTGCTAAGCAAGAAAGCAAAAATATATTTTAAATTAATCCATGAACATTCTAAACATTCATTTCTTTTTAAATAGTAAAAATGAACTTTGATTCCTTGAATCTGAAATGATTCATTATGACAATTATGCATAGTCTTTAATAATCTGCATATTTTATGCTACTTTCATGTCTTTCCTAATTAATGACTTCACGGGTTTAATATTTATAGTTTTTCTGTGCATAATTTACATAGTTATATAAAATGAGTGATTAAGATTAGTAATTGTTCTGTTTGTTTACATATTGTTTTCTATCAAAAGAGAAAATGGGACTGCGATAGAGGCTCATTTGTAGAGAGCACTTGCCTAAAATGCAAAAAGCCCTGAGATGGATATTCAAGACTATAATAAATAAGAGAGAGAAACAGGCTGGAACTGTGTTAGAGCAGGTGTCTGGCTTTATGTGAAGCCTTGCCACTGAAAAGAGAAACCAAAAACACCAGATTTTAAAACTCAAGTAGCTTGGTAATGTAAGACTCTAGTGTTTAGAATTTAAGTGTGCCTTAGTGATTGTGCCATTGTTTTTATGTTATCACTGGATTATTTGTTAGTGCTTAGTATCAGAAATAAGTTCCTTGTGTTATGTGTTTGGGATTTCCTAATGCAATGTTCTCTTTTTAGAAAAGGTGGTCAAGTCCTCTTTTCAAGAGAAGATGACTTTTAACAGTTTTGAAGGATCTAGAACTTGTGTACCTGCAGACACCAATAAGGATGAAGAATTTGTAGAAGAGTTTAATAGATTAAAAACGTTTGCTACCTTTCCAAGTAGTTGTCCTGTTTCAGCATCAACATTGGCACGGGCAGGGTTTCTTTATACTGGTGAAGGAGATACTGTGCAGTGCTTTAGTTGTCACGCAGCAGTAGATAGATGGCAATATGGAGACTCAGCTGTTGGAAGACACAGGAAAATATCCCCAAATTGCAGATTTATCAATGGTTTTTATTTTGAAAACAGTGCCACACAGTCTACAAATTCTAGTGTCCAAAATGGCCAGTACAAAGCTGAAAACTCCGTGGGAAACAGAAATCATTTTATTCTCGACAGACCATCTGAGACTCAAGCAGATTATCTTTTGAGAACTGGACAGGTTGTAGATATTTCAGACACCATATTCCCGAGGAACCCTGCCATGTGTAGTGAAGAAGCCAGATTAAAGTCATTTCAGAACTGGCCAGATTATGCCCATATAACCCCCAGAGAGTTGGCTAGTGCTGGCCTCTACTACACAGGGATTGATGATCAAGTGCAGTGTTTTTGTTGTGGTGGAAAACTGAAAAATTGGGAGCCCTGTGATCGTGCCTGGTCAGAACACAGGAGACACTTTCCCAACTGCTTTTTTGTTTTGGGCCGGAATGTTAATGTTCGAAGTGAACCTGGTATGAGTTCTGATAGGAATTTCCCAAATTCGACAATTTCTCCAAGAAATCCAGCCATGGCAGAATATGAAGCACGGATCAATACTTTTGGAACATGGATATACTCAGTTAACAAGGAGCAGCTTGCAAGAGCTGGATTTTATGCTTTAGGTAAACTTAACCAATACATTGCCTTCCAACTGTCACAGGGCCCCTAAAAAGAAAATCATTGTCTTGAGTCTTCTGAACTGATAAATATTTAGGTATAAGTTTTCAATATTGTTTATCATCGGTATCATTTTCTGAGCTCATATGTTAACTCTTTAATGTAACTATTGAATTTATGTTAAAGACTATGCTATTATGAGTCAGATGTGTTCATATAATTGTTTGGAGGTAGAATTGAGAGAAAAAAAGATATTGATTCCTGATAGATAATGATGGGTCTAATAGTAATAATAGCTACCATTTATTGAACATCTCTGTGTGCTCCAAATACCTATTACATGGATTTTCTCTGAGCTTCACTACAACCCTATAAAAAGAGTTAACAGAGAAGTTAGTTTGGTTCATGGTAAATTGACATCAAGCTAACCATGGTGCCACACACCTATAATTCCAGCAATCCATAGGTTAAGGTAGGAAGATCAGCCTGAGTTTGAGGGCAGTTTGAGCTTCATTGTGATACCCTCTCTCAGAAAACCAACCACAAAATGACCATCTGCCTTTAAAGCATACAGTACATATTTGAACGCTGCCCAGTATTATTCCTTATTGCTTCAGAACAATTTGAAACAGTTCCTGTAGATATCTCAAGAACAGCCGGTATTGTGGTGGCTTATAGGAATATCTTATATCTACATGCCTGACCCATTTATTTTAAGATTGAATAATGCCAAGTCCAAATGTAAATTATTTCAGATCTTTTCATTTATATAACATAGTAATCTTAAAGGTCTTTTTAATGTCAGAGGGCTCTATCCTTGAAGACACTTGTAATTTATGCTGAGTTTTATTGTTTTTAACATTTGGAATATAATTTGTACAAATTTCACTTTGATGAAGTAAGTATAATAGTTATGACCTAAATGACATACACTAGAAAGAATGTAACAATTATAGTTTCTAGCATTAAAAAGGTTGATTTTACTTTTGTTGTCTTCTACAAAGCACCTCATATTGAGATGGTGAATTTAGTATGTATTTCCCCTCAAATGACAGAGATCATATCTTGATAGAATGTGAATGTCTTCTTTTAAGCCATGAGATTCTTATGTAACATAGACACCCCTTAAATATCAGCATGGGCATTTTTCTGAAAACGTCGCCTTGCACAAATACACATAGTTTTACTTGTCTGTTTTCTTAGGTGAAGGTGATAAAGTGAAATGCTTTCACTGTGGAGGAGGGCTCACAGATTGGAAGGCAAATGAAGACCCTTGGGAACAGCATGCTAAATGGTTTCCCGGGTAAGGTTCTTAATCGCTCATTCAGTAATAGGCAAGTTGGACAATGTTCAGTGGAAAGATTTGAATTACTTTTCACCTCAACTATTTTTTGCCTTCACTATGGCTTGAAATTCACACCAGGTTTATAGAAATGGGGTCACCTACTTTGTAGGCAAAAAAAAAAAATACCACTTAAGACTTCTGGTAACCAAAAACAATCACTGTTCCTATATCATATGATACTTAGATGGTTCTGTTTCTAAACACCAAATTATAAAAATGTGTACATTTTATTTATTATACTATACAAAAATGTATGCCTTTCATTTAGAAGTAGGCTCTTTGGAGAATGGCCTGAGCCCGTGGTGCCATGAGAAGTCCCGAATATTATTATTTATTGTTTGTGTTTCATTTGGTTTTAACTTGAAGCAAAGTCTCAGATTAGCTGAGATTGGCCTGAATTCACAATGTCTTCTAGGCTGCCCTCCATTTTGAAACCCTGTGGTTGTTTCAGGTTCCTTTGTCATCTTGCCTCTGTAAAATAAAGTACTCAGCTATATAAGTTGTATAAGTTTCTACTATACAAATAATCCAACTTAAATCTTTGGATGATTCATTTGAAATGAATCTTCCTTAAACAACCTTAAAATTAAATGAGAAAATAAAAGATTTTTAAGTACTCACTTTTGGCTAAAAAAATTTGCCATTTTGAACTTAAGGAAAGTGTTGACTGGGCGTTGGTGGCCCATACATTTAATCCCAGCACTCAGGAGACAGGCAGGTGGACCTCTTAAATTCAAGGACAGCTTGCTCTATGGAGTTCTAGGACAGCCAGGTCTTGAGTTCCAGGACAGCAGGGTTACACAGAGAAATCCTATCTAGTAACCATCACCCCAAAAAGATCAGTGTTGGAGTACTACTTTAATAGCTTCTTTTGTCTGCTTTCAATTTTGGATTTTTGTTTGTATTTTTTGTATGTGTGTTTTAGAAATTTGGTTTTGTTTTGTAACCTTAATTGGCCCGCAGCTTCCTAAGTAGACTGGTCTGGACTTAAACCTTGTAGCAGTCCTCCAGCTTCTGCCTCTTGAGTATTATAGAGGTGTGGTACCATGTCTGTCTTTTTTTGTTTTCTTTCTATTTAGAGACAGGATCTCTTGGAGCTCGGGCTAGCAAGAATTCACTATGTAGCCAGTGGTAGTGCTGAACTTCTTTTTCTTGGCTTAACCCCCTAAATGCATAAATTCCAGGTATTTGCCACCATACCTGACTAATAACTTTTTCAACTTTTTTTTTGGGGGGGGGGGGAGTCTGGCTATATATAGCCCAGGCTAGCCTGGTTTTCATTTCCTGACTCTACTTCCCAAGTGCTGGAATTACAGGCATATGCCACCAAAATTGGCTTCTAATTTAGTAACTCTTGCTTGAGAATCAAAAGTTCTAAAATGTATATTATTAGCATGAATAATAGGAGCATTGTTTTAGCCTTGAAATGACAACTGGATAAGGAATTGAGTAGCAGTTTACTTTGTGGCTCCCTAGAAACAGTGATGCTGAGGCCTTTAATCTTAGGAGTCTGATAAAATAGATTTCAAGGCCTGTCTCAGTTAGAAAGCATAGTCAAGGCCCTATCTCAAATGAAAAGTTGTATTTTTAAAAGAATAGGGTGACTTATGCCTATTCCTGACTATAATCCCAGCACTTGAGGTATGTAGGCAGGAGGATTAGAAGTTCAGGGTTATCTTTGGCTACAAAACAAGTTTGAGAATCATAGTTTGACTCACATGAGAACTTGCATGAAAAAAAGGAAGGAGGTGGGAATATAGTTTAGTGATGGAATGCTTTTTTGTATGCACATGGCCCTGAGTTTAATCCCTAGTACCATGTACAAAAAAAGACAATAATAATGAAAAGGTACATTTTAAAATTGCAATTATTTATTTATTGCATGGGGGTGATGCACATCTTCGTAGTACACGAGTGGAGGGTAGTACAGCTTGCAGGAGTTTGTTCTCTTCCACTGTATGAGTTTCTGGAATTGAATTCAGAGAAAGACTGGCTTTAGTAATACTTCACTGATTTATCAGCTAGTAGAGTTTAATTTTCATTAATCTTTTAGGTGTAAATATCTTTTGGATGAGAAGGGGCAAGAATATATAAATAATATTCATTTAACCCATTCGCTTGGGGAATCTTTGGTAAGTTGCCTGTTAATGTATATATGCCTTCTAATTCTATACCATTTGTTTTTCTAATGATTTCTTCCAGTAAAATGCATGGTATACTCATAATTAATGTGTAGTAAACTTTAAAGGGGAGAAACTTGAAAAAAGCTTCTAAGTCTTAACTCTGAAGCAAATTTTTGAGATTAGGGTAAAATAATGTATTACTGTGGTCAGAATGGGTGTAAAGAACTTAAAATACTGAAATCATTTAGCCTTCAGAAACTCTGTGTAATGTACTTTGAAATCACAAATTGTTTTTACCTTTTTCTTTTTTTTTTTTTACAAAAAAAAGCATTTCACCCTGTAGACCAGGCTGACCTTGTGAACCCACAAGATGTGCCTGCCTTTGTCTCCAGAGTGCTGAGATTAAAAGAATCTGCCACCATGCGTGGCAGTTTTCACCTTTAAAAGAAGATTGATTGATCGATTGATTGATCAATTGATTGATTTAGAGTATGTGTGTGTGTGTGTTTGTGTGTGTGTACACCATGTGTTATATGTATTGTGCAGCTACTTGAGGGAAACGGCAGAGGGCATCAGATCCCTAGAACTGGCGTTACAGTTACAGGCAGTTTTGAGTTGCCCAATATGGATTCTGGGAACTGAACTCTGGTCTTCTGCAAGAGTAGCTAAGGCATCTCTTTAGTTACCTTTTAGCATATAGTACATAAAATGGCAAAAATAGGACTGGAGATATACATCAATTACACCTTATCTGGCTATCATAAACAATGGCCTGGGTCAAAATAAAATGTAAAACATATCTGAATAGATAAATAGGACAAGGGTTCTCAAAGCATTAGTAAAATGTGGGAAGAATCCCGGACTGGATTGGGAGTCTAAAATTAACATGATAGTTCTGCCACTGGTCTTTTAGTTTAGTTTGTGTTTGTTTCTTCTCCAGGAAGTTGTTTGATCTCATTGGCCCTCAGCTTCTTGTCTGTAAAGTAGTGTTGTTGAATTAAATATTCTTAACTTCCTTCTGTTCCATCAGGCTATGTTCTTGTGAATAGTCATGTTTTAAATTAGAATAAAGCCAATTTGTTTTAAGTTCATTAATTTTTCAAATTGAAATAATTGCTTTCTACTAAAGTGAATTCTTACCATTCATAATTTTATTTTAGGTAAGAACTGCTGAAAAAACACCTTCACTAACTAAAAGAATCGGTAAATATGCTTATTAAAATAAATCTTTAATTTTGTGGCCAAATTAGTATGTTTAATGAGGTCACTGTAAATTTCAGAAGTTAATGAAGTGCTTATACTTTTATACCATGTATTTCTATACTGAGGATGTTAATAGAAAGCTCGGTATTGCCAGGCAGTGATGGCACATGCCTTTAATCCCAACACTCAGGAGGCAGAGGTATATGTATCTCTGTGAATTCGAGGCCAGCCTGGTCTACAGACTGAGTTCTAGGACAGCCAAGGCTGTTATAGAGCAACCTTGTCTCAAAAAAACGAGAGAGAGAGAGAGAGAGAGAGAGAGAGAGAGAGAGAGAGAGAGAGAAGGAAAGAAAGAAAGAGAAAAGAGAAAAATAAAGCCAAGTGTTGTGGCTTAAATCCATAATCCTAACACTTGGGATATTAAAGCAGGGGAATTCTAAATCTGTGGCTAGTTTGGGTTGCATGACATGAGTTTAAAAAAGCTAGGGAGGGAGGAAAACTTGATTCCATTTATTTATGTATTTATTCGTTCATTCATTAATTTAATGTGTATGGGTGTTCAACCTTCACAAATGTCTACCATGTGTGTGCCTGGTTCACCCAAGCAAGAAAAGAACGTCAGATCTCCTGGAACTGCAGTTATAGGTGGTTGTAAGCTATAATGTAAGTTCCAAGAACTGAACCCAAGTCCTCTTGAAAAGGCAGTACTTTTAACATTTGAGTCATCTCAGTGGTCTACTGTGTAGACCAAACTGGCCTGGACCTCTCTTTTTGCCTCAGTCTTTAAGTAACCCCACACACAACTAAAGCAGATTCTGTAATGGTATTTATTATTGTTTTTCCAGGCTGGTGATTGAGCCCAAAGCCTTTCTAATGATGAGTACTCTGAGCTACAGCCCTAGCAGTTAATCCTGCTTTTCAACTGCAGAAGCAAGGAGGTTATATGCTCTACTCACAGCCACATTATATATTTTTGTTGTTTTGTTGTTATTTTGTTTTTTTTCCAAGACAGGGTTCTTCTATGTGTATTCCTGGCTGTCCTGGAACTCACTCTGTAGACCAGGCTGGCCTCAAACTCAGAGATCTGCCTGCCTCTGCCTCCTGAGTGCTGGGATTAAAGACATGTGACATTATAGATTATTAATAAATCTAGAACTGTAAACAAGGTCTTCTAAATCCCATAGCACATTGTAGACCTAATTTTTGGTGGGGTTATTTATGGGTTTTTGATTGTGTTTTGTTGGTGTTATGGAACAGGGTTTTTCTGTTTAAAAAACATGACTGCGCTGAAATTCATTATGAAGGCCTGGCTGGCCTTCAAACCGCAAACACCTTCCTGCCTCTGCCTTCAGAGTGCTGAAATTAAAGATATATAGTATGATATCCAGCTCTGATGTTCTTTTTGTTTTGTATTTTTAGATCTCATTTTTCAATTGAGGCAGTATGTTTCAAAAATAGAAAGTTTAATTTAGAGTACCTGGTGAATCCTTATTCCCTGATGTTGTAACATCACTATTTGTATACCTATCCTACATCAGTCGTTCTCCATTTTCCTACTGCTGGGTCCTGACAAATGCAGGTAGTTTTTTTTTTCTTAAGATATTTTACGTAGAATCATCTTCTGTGTAGCGTCAAATGTCTATATATAGTTTCATGTATTGAGTACATCATTCTTTATTGTTTTGCTTTATTTTGAGACAGGATCTAGTGTATCCTAGACTGGGCTTGAATTTGGTAGATAGCTGAATATGACCTTGATCTATCTCCTAGTCCTCCTACTTCTACTTTGTCCTTTCTTGGGACACAGGCCCACACTACCATACTAGGTTGATGTTTTGCTGGAGATTTAATGCCAGGACTGCATGCATACTAGGCAAGCACTCTTTCAACAACCTCATCCTCTGGATACTTTTCTTACCTGTTTTAACCTATCTTGAATTTTTCTTTCCAACTTTGGGAATCAAAGCCTCAGCAACGCACACAGTAGCAGACAGTCTACCAGTGAACTACTTCTCAGTGATAACATGGTCTTAAAGCCCTATTTAATTGTTTTAATTGTGTTAATGAAAATACTTGTTTCTGCTGTGTTCTTTCTCCATCCAACTTTGATTTCAGATGATACCATCTTCCAGAATCCTATGGTACAAGAAGCTATACGAATGGGATTCAATTTCAGGGACATTAAGAAAACAATGGAAGAAAAAATCCAAACATCTGGGAGCAGCTATCTATCACTTGAGGTTCTGATTGCAGATCTAGTGAGTGCTCAGAAAGATAATACACAGGATGAATCAAGTCAGACTTCATTGCAGAAAGGTATGGATTGGGGTGTTTTTGTTTGTTTGTTTGATTGATTTTTGGGGTTTTGTTTGTTTGCTTGCTTGCTTAGTTTTGGTTTTGGTTTTGGTTTTTCAAGACAGGGTTTCTCTGTAGCTTTGAAGCCTATCCTGCAACTTACTCTGTAGACCAGGCTGGCCTTGAACTCAATGAGATCCATCTGCCTCCCAAGTGCTGGGATTAAAGGTGTGAGCCACCACCACCTGGCACATTGTTTATTTTTGGAAACAAAAATAACAACTTTGCAACCCATTCATTTCTTTTTTATAATATCCTCATGGGGAGGCCTCACCCTTTCTGAGGAGTGGATTGAGGGTGGGGTCCGAGGAAAGTTGTGGGAGAGGGAACTGGGATTGGTATGTAAAATAAAAATGATTCTTTGATAAAATAAAAAAAGGAATAGAAAAAGAAAAATGAAAAAATCCCCATGAAATAAACAGTTTTACTTTTTTATTACAATAAATTTTAAACATACACAGAAGTAAAAAGAACGATAAATCACCTTCAAAATAAGCAGCTCTTCCCCATCTTGATTCTCTTCTCCTATCTTTTTTGACCATAGCACTTCAAAGTCAATATAAGACATCCTGTGTATCATTATCTACAAATACTTCACTATATATTCAAGGGTATTTTTTTAAAATATTTATTCATTTATTATGCATACAATATCTGCCTACGTGTATGCCCGCAGACCAGAGAGGGCACCAGATCTCATTACAGATGTTGTGAGCCACCATATGGTTGCTGGAATTGAACTCAGGACCTTTGGAAGAGCAGGCAATGCTCTTAACCACTGAACCATCTCTCCAGCCCCCATTCAAGGGTATTTTTAAGTATGCACTTAGTGCTGTGTTTTTCAAGCTACTATACCATAATGCATTCGTTTCTCACAGACTGAGAAGTCTAAAATCTAGGTCTTTTGCAGATAGTTGCCTTCTCAAAGTAGTGTGTATAACGTCAGATCTTTCTTCCTCTACTTACGAGAATGTTATTTCTCCCAGGAGTTCTCATGCTCATGAGTTAATATAAACCTAATTGTATTCGTGCATTGTTTAACAGTGGAGATATGTTCTGAGAAATTCATTGTTAAACAATCTCATTGTTGAATGAATGTCATCAAATATACTTACACAAACATAGATGCCGTATGTTAATCAATTGATCCGGCTTCTTGATGCAATCCAGATATTTTGTAAACATGAGATATGTGTCAGGAGGCTTCTGCTGATGTGATATGGCATTTATTTCATGGTAATTTATTTATGTGAAGGAATATATTCTAATAATAAATTATGCAAGGTAATACAGAAACCAGTAGCATAGTTGTTAGGTTTTTTCTTTTTTTCTTTTTTTTTTTGTTCATGACACGGTTTCTCTGTGTAACAGCCCAGGCTACCCTGGAACTCACTTTGTAGACCAGGCTAGCCTCGAACTTACAGAAATCTGCCTGTCTCTACCTTCCTAGTGCTGGGATTAAAGGTGTGAGCCACCACTGCCCGGCTGGTTTTCTTCTCTTCGTTATCATGTTTTAATTATATGCTATGCTTTCATATGACCCAGGAGGTTAGTTAATATCAGCATTATCCCAAAATGTGATACGTTATGCTATAACATTAGGCTGGCTGAAACATCACTAGATGATAGGATTTTTTTCAGTTCACTTCTGATCTTCTGGAACAAATACATGCTTTCTGGTTTACCAAAGCACTGTTCAATAACACATTAGTACCTACAGCCCTTCTTCTGACCATCACTATGTAGAACATTAAGGCTGTAGCATATGAATGTTAGGAACACAAATATTCAGTCCATATCATGTTCTTATCACACTTGACAAAATAAACTAATTCTCTAAAGCATCAGAAACCTGATTGGTTTTAACACCCTTCCTTCTTTTTAGTACTCTAAGGTAAGCCCAGGGCCTGGTACATTTTAAGAAGGTACTCTACCAATGAGCCACACCCCTCATTTCTCCAGTTTCTTAAAACATGTCTACACTTGATCCATTTTAATAAAGATCTAAGTAAGATTCTCCAGTTTCTTCATTTTATTTTTAGATGCCTCAGTTGCATATATTAATTATATATAATGATAGGTTTCATGGTGTTTTTGTACATGTACTTACATCATATTTATCCCCCATTCCTTCTACTAATCTGCTATTTCATGCCCCCACCCACCCTTTGTGACCCAATTAGGGGCGCATGGTTTGTGTGTGTGTGTGTGTGTGTGTGTGTGCGTGTATGTGCGTGCTCATATGTATGCATGTGCATGTGTGTCCAAATAATTGTAAAGGCAAGAAGTCAGCCTCAGTTGCCCTTCACCCTGTTTTTTTTAATGGGTAATTTTTCAGTGACAGTAAGATTAAATAAAATGTCTCCAATAACCATTAACTGTGTATGAATTCTCAGGGAAGAGTGGGGTCCTATGAGATTCTTCCCATTACATGGCAGGATGTTTACTGACCTAATCATGGAAGATCTTATACAGGAATCATATTTTAATTTTGTTTTTGAGATAGAGTCTCTAACACAAGTTGGTTTTGAACTATTAGTAGCTGAGGGTGACCTTGAATTTCTGTTCCTCCTGCCTCCACTTCCCAAGATATGGGAGTACAGGCAGGCAACATTACTCAGTTTATGAGGTACATGAGATTGAACCTAGGACCTTGTGCATACTAGACAAACATCCCCAGCCTTGATTTTAAAAGTATGAGTTAAAGTATTTTTTTGATTGTTTGAGATGGGATTTCACCTTGTAACAGCCATGATTGTGCTGGAACTTGCTTTGTAGACCACGCTGGCCTCCAACTCACAGAGTTCTATCTGCCTGCTTCTGCTTTCCAATTGTCGAGGTTAAAGGTAAGCATCTGTTGTGTGGTTAGAGTATTTTAGAGAAAGAACAGCAGAGGCTTTTATTGTGTATAGAATTTAAGTTTTGTAATTGAAACAGTTTGGTTTTAAAGTATTCTGCAACTTTTCATATGTGAAATCATGAGGGGGTCATGCTATGAAGTAGGCTTTAAATTAAAATATATCCTAATACTGTGTATTTCATAGAGAAAGCCAGATGGTGATCCACACTTATAATTTCCATCTTCACAGGGAGAGGCAATAGGGTAACTAGATTTAGGCTAGCCTGGCTGCATAGTAAGACCTGTTGAAAACATCAGCAGCAAAAGAAAAGACGTTAATTTTGAAATAAACTTAAGCTTTTAAAGATTACTGAAGTGGGGTAGCAGCTAAGTGGATAAACTACTGCTCTGTAAACATGAGGTCCTAAAGTTCGGATCTCCAGACGTAAAAGCCAAATGTGGTGTGCACCTGTAACCCCAACACTGGGGGAGTGAGGAAGAGAGACAGACAGGTCCTCCGTCTAGCCAGTTGGTGAACTCCAGGGTCAGAGATCTGCCTCAAAAAATAATGTGGAATAATTGAGAAAGATAACTAACATAGACTTCTCTACCCTTCATGTATACAAGCAAGCACACTTGATTACACAGGCATACTCCAGCCACACAATTATAGACGCATGTACACACATAGTTTTTTTTAAGGTTCTATGTATTTTATTATTGAAAAAAAAACAATTAGTTTATAAATGAAACACAAAAGCAAATGAGAACCCAGTATAAACATGACCAAGTCTCTAGAGGTTAAAATGCTCAACTCCATCTGATAGGATTGATGGATGACCATGATTCTTCTCCAGTGTCTTCTCTTCTCAAGTTGGTTGTATCTGACTTTGTTACCCTTTCTTTCTCGGCCAGTAATCTATTGTTTCAGAAAGTCCTTGGGAAGGCATGGCAAAAAGCAATCGGGCCTCTGGCTCATGATAAGGAAGGGAAGGCATACATGCATTTTGTTCTGTTTTAATACATGAGGGGGAAAATTTTAAAAATACATAAAAGGGGCTGGAGAGATGGCTCAGTGATTTTAAAAATTATAATACTCTTGCAGAGGACACAGGTTTGTTCCCAGCATCTATGTTGGGTGGTTTGCAACCATCTGTAACTCCAGAGCCAGGATATCTGACACCCTCTAGTGGTTTCCACAAGCACCCGCACAAATGTGCCTATATGCACACACACACATATTATTTTAAAATAAATGGAAAATACAAGTTTCTAAAGAAGACATAGTAGTCCCAGCATATCTATATTCTCAGCTCCTTTAGAGGCTAAGGTGGTAGGATCATTGAGCCTAGGAGATTAAGGCCACTCTGAGCAACATAACAAGACCATGTCTCAAAGTTTGAACTAACATACTAAAAATATTAGAAAGTGTCACCACATATTATCTAGATAGCAAGCCTTTATTGTTATGTACCAGGATATCCTGATCTCAAAGGGTGCCTTGTGGAAAACACAAGGAGAAAGCCTTGAGTGTAGTGACACGGGCTTTTAATCCTAGTGCTCAGGAGGCAGAGGCAGGTACACCTCTGTGAGTTCAAGGCCAGCCTGATATGTATAGCAAGTTCCATAATAGATAGAGCTCCTTAGACCCAGAAACAGTAACAAAAAAGATGCAGTAGGCAAGGTTGTAGAGCAGAATAGTCACCTTTTTGGTATGAAGCAGTTGCCAATGATAAATTACTAATCAGGGGCATTCTCAGTATGTGACTGATCGTATCATTCTTTGAGTTCATTCCATTGGGTCTGTAAAACGGAATCACAATAAAACCCAAGATGAATATTAATTCCTGGGCATTATAATCCCAGTACTCTAGAAGCTAAAAAGAACTGGCATTGTTGACCATTTTAGGCTACATAGCAAGACTCTGCCTCAAAAGGAAAGGGGTAGTGTCAGGATATAGCTAACTTGATAGAGAGCTTGTGTACAATGTGGATGGCCCAGGATTCCATCCCCAGCACAGCATAAACTGGGACCATTAATCCCAGAGTTTGGGAAGTACAAACAGGAGGGTCAGGAGTTCAAGGTCATGTTTGAGGTCAGCCTGGGATACTTGAGACTCTATCTCAAAGACAAAACGAAAACAAGTAACAGAAAAGCAACCTAGGTTGTATTAATGCCTCTATGATTTCAGTGAGCAAAAATACAGCAGATAAGCTGTTGCCAGGGATTATTTTTTAGTCATAAAGTACACATCAAATTTACCGTCTTATAACTGGGAATATATTTCAGTGTTAGACCAATTGCCTAATATACCTGGAGACTCTGGGTTTGATTCCCAGCACCACATAAATGACTATCTTAACCTTTTGTATGTTTATAGTAGTGTTAAATATGTTCATACTGTTGTATTATACAACCACTCTGGAGAATTGGTCTTGGTGATCAAACACAGGATCTTATACATGCCAGGATAGGTAAGTCATATACCCAGCCAGAGCCCATAACTTTCATTGAGTATAAAAGGTTGTTTCTTGAGAAGAGACTAGAGGGGCTGAAGAAATGGTTCAGTAGTTAAGAGCTCTTCTGGAGGACCTGGGTTTAATTCCTGGTACTCACATAGCAGCTTACAACTGTCTCTAACTCCAGTTCCAGATGATCCGACATGCTCACACAGATGCACATACAGGCAAAATGCAAGTACACATAAAAATTAAATTTTAAAAGAAAAAGAGATTAAAACAAGACTTTTGTTCCCTTCCTACTCGAAGAAACTTCTCTGAAGCTCGTATGTGACAGTACTTCTCTGGTTTAGAACTTATCAGCTCTCAGGACCCCCAGAATCAAGTCCCAACTCTTCGATGCTTCGCCGTATCTTTAAGTTGGTTCTTGCTGTCCGTTTGTACCTGGTCTCTTTTTTTTTTTTCAGATTCAGTGACTAGTTTTTACCTATGTTCTTACAAGTCATGTTCTGTTTCTTAGAGCATACTTCAGTCATTTCTTTCACCTAGAGCACTTCCTCTCATTGCTCTGACTTCCAGGGTGCGTCCTTCTAGATAACTCCTGTACATTCAGTGTATCACAGTTTCCTGTTTACTTATGTTCTCTACGTGGTTGTGATATTGGATGCCTAACGCGCATATATATTCATTGTATACACACTGCCCAAGTGTTCAATAAGTACTTGGATGAAATTAAACTATTGCTTTTCAAACATGTTTTATAAATAATGTTCCCTTTAGGACATTAAGTGCCTTAAAAAGAAGTGATGCCAGGCATGCTGCACAAACCTTTAATCCCAGCATTCATGCAGCAGAGGCAAGCAGATCTCTGAGTCTGGGCCAACCTAGCTACATAGTGAGACCCTGTTTTTGTTTGTTTCATTTTGGTTTTGTTGGTTCTTTGGCTTGTTTGTTTGTTGGTTTTTGGTTTTTCAGGACACGGTTTCTCTCTGTTAACAGCTCTTACTGTCCCAGAATTCACCCTATAGAGGAGGCTGGCCTCGAACTCACAGAGATCTTCCTGCCTCTGCCTCCCAAGTGCTGGGATTAAAGAGGTGCTCCACTACACCTGACTTGTTTTTAAAGGAGCTACATAGTTGAATAGGAAAATGCATAGTGTGTGTATACACACACACACACACACACGTAGTTCCCATGTGCCAGTGTGGCTACCATTAGAAGTTTTAGAGTTAGTAGATGAACCTTGAAGGGATAGCGTGATTGTTCAACAGATAAAGGCACTGTTTCCAAGCCTGAAGACCTGACTTGAGTTTGATCCTGGAACCTATCTTGAAAAGTTGCGCTCTGGCTTTCATACATGTGCTACAATGTACACATCCTCATCACAAATATAAATAAATAAAATATTTTTTAAGAGAAATAAAACTTGTTTTTTTTTTTTAAAAAAAAGCCACAAGAGGTAGGAATGTGGTACAATGAATGGTATACAGTATCCTGGACTTAATACCCAACACTGCTGACATCCCCCCACACACACACACCAAAGGAAAACAATACACATTTGAGGTCAGATTTATAAATCATTAGTATACAATACTTACAAAGATAGTTAAAATATGTATTTATTTGTAGTAACTAGCACATAATATTTATGCTCTATTACTGCTGATTGTTGATGCTGTTATCTATAACCACAATCACAGTTTTATGGCATATTTGTTAGACTTTCACAAAATCAGTTTTGGCAAAAGTTAATCGTGCAGCTACTTCAGTATCGTATATATGTTAATCATACCCAAATATATTTTTGGAAACCTTGCTAACATCTCAAATATACCTGAAAATGTAAAGCCTCTACCTCCTTTTACATTTCCGGTAATTATCAGTGTCTCCTTAACTTAACACATTAGCAAGCCCAACTTTAGTTCCTTTTTTTTTAAAGAGAGAAATTGTAGTATTGGGTTTTTTAAAAATTATTTTTGTTTTCTGTGCATTGGTGATTTGCCATGGGTGTCAGGTCTCCTGAAACTGGAATTATAGACAGTTGTGAGCCGCCATGTGGGTCCTGGGAATTGAACTCAGAACCTCTGAAAGAACAGTCAGTGCTCTTCACTACTGAGCCATCTCTCCAGCCCCCTCCTCTCTTTAGCCCTCACATCTAAGCACCAAGTCCTATTTGTCCAACTGGAGAAGTGTCCATCAAATGGGTCCCTTTCTGGGATTACCAATGCCCTTCAGATAACAACTAGATACTTTTACTACTTTCTTGCTTTTCTGCATGACAAATTGTTGCCTGTACTCAATTGTCAATCCACCATTGTCCTCCTCACGATGCCTTCCTCAACCAGTTGGAAAGAAAAATTTGTTCATCTTGCCCCCAGAGCACTTTGCATGGAACTTTATTATAGCGCTGACTACTTTATACTTTGTATTTCCTCTAGCTGTAGCTCACAGTGTCTCCCACTAGCGTACAAACTACTTAAGAATGTGTGCCGTGTGTGAGTCATTTTCATGTCTCCTAAGACTTGAGTGTCTGGCACACAGGAGGGGGTCGGTGTTTCAATGAATTTAAACAACAAACCCAAAAACGAATATATGTTGTTTTTCTCTTTGTGCAGACATTAGTACAGAAGAGCAGCTAAGGCGCCTACAAGAGGAGAAGCTTTGCAAAATCTGCATGGATAGAAATATTGCTGTTGTTTTTGTTCCTTGTGGACATCTGGTCACTTGTAAACAATGTGCTGAAGCAGTCGACAAATGTCCCATGTGCTACACAATCATTACGTTCAAGCAAAAAATTTTTATGTCTTAATTCAGAGCCACAGTAGGCATGTTATGTTCTTCTTACTTTAATTGAATGTGTGATGTGAGCAAACTTTAAGTAATCAGCATTGCATTCCATTAGCATCTGCTCCCAAGTGGAAACAAATGTTAACAGCACTGTTGCAGTCTAAACTTTGAATTTCTAGATCTTTCAGGCTATTAGCTATATTGTTTATCCAGTATTTTACTCAATTGAAACCTTAGACAAAGAAGCATTTAATATTATAACATTTCATCTTGTGTATTTGTAGTATACTGATTTGATTATGTATAAGTGAATTAATCACCTGTATTTTTTCATTCCTTTCAGATAAGCTTAATAAATGGGGTGTTCTGTATAAGCAGGGAGATTTCAGGTAATCTGCCCAATCACTTAATTTGTTTATTGTGAACAGGGAAGAACTGTTCCACACTGGTGGGAGGATAAACATTGTTTTTAGATGTTTGTCCATGTTTTAGGATTTTGTCTGTTTCCTGTCAAAATTATAAACGTACTTGTATGAATGTTTTTTTTAAAAGTGATTTTGCCATCTCCCAAAAGATATTTAATGATAGACTACTATCTAACTAGCGTATACTAACATGGAAAGACAACAAAGATATAGTAAGTGTAAAATACAAATGGCAAAACACTATGTATAGTTTGAGTCAAATCAAGGTGTGTGAATTTTATATCTCTATAGGACAAAAAAGATTTGGAAAGATATGCATCACACTCTTAAATATTTTTTTCTTGAAGGGGTGGGGGCATGGGTCTTAGAGGGGCTTATAAGTGCCCTTCCTTTTTTTTTATTCTGTTTGAAGTTTATATAACTATGTATTACTTTTATATAATCAGAATTTTTAGAAAATATTTTACTGATTTAAAGGCTTAGGCATGTTCAAATGTCTGCAAAACTACTTATCGCTCAGTTTTAGTTTTTCTAATCCAAGAAGGCAGGCCAGTTAATTTTTTGGTGCCAATGTGAAATTTAAATGTTTTTGTTTTACCTGCTTTGTGGATGAAAAATACTTCTGAGTGGTAGTTTTCTGACAGGTAGACCATGTCTTCTTATCTTGTTTCAAAATAAATATTTCTGATTTTGTAAAATGAAATATAAAATATGTTTCAGATCTTCCAATTAATTAGTAAGGATTCATCCTTAATCCTTGCTAATTTAAGCCTGCCTAAGTCACTTTACTAAAAGATCTTTGTTAACCCAGTATTTTAAACATCTGTCCGCTTATGTAGGTAAAAGTAGAAGCATGTTTGTATGCTGCTTGTAGTTTTAGTGACAGCTTTTCATGTTGAGATTCTCATGTCATTTTGTGTCCTGAAAGTTTCATGTGAGTTTTTACTGTTAAGATGATTAAGATGTATATAGTACAGAATGTTAAGTCTCTGATTGTTTTATGTTTGTTTGTTTCTTGACTAGTAATGGTAGTAAATACTTTTAAAACTATTTTCTCAAGATCCTTAAAACCTCTTGGAACTGTAGCATACTGACAAGAGTAGTTGTTTAATTATGATTTAACAACTTATGTAAGAGTCAGTAAGAATAAAATCAAGCTAAAATGCTTCATAGAACACAGGATTTACCTTAAATAATTATGATAGACCTCTTATAGAGACGGGTCTATTTTGCTACAGAGAACAGTTTGGGAGTGAAACTGTTACAATTTAGACTTTTTGTTGTATTTTCTAAGAGAAAGAGTATTGTTAGGTTCTCCTAACCTCTGTTGACCACTATGGTAAGTGATGTCATTTTAATTGCAAATTTAAATAGAAATTAACGGAATTAAGTAAATGACTACCCTTTTTTCTCTTTCCTTTTTTCAGGAAAATCTTTCTTTGTATTGTCTCCTACTTAGGTACAGTTAGGTAGTCATTAAGTTGAACTTGATCTAAATTGACTAAGTTTTAAATTTAAATTTACATATAAAGCATTCTACAAGGGGATAAAAGTGTTAATTTAAAAAATTTTTCTAAGACACTTCAGGTACAAGTCACGTAGGTAGTTTGTTTAATCTAGTTGTTAGCCAAGGATTCAAGGACTGAATTGTTTTTTAATAAGGCTTTTCATGTTCTCGGAGCATCAGTTCGTTTAAAACTCTCCTTTTAAAACTTGTGTGCTGAGAGTTAAGCAAAACCTCTTTTTTTTTGTCTTCATGAGTTGCAAAATTGAATTCGTGAAGCTGATGCGCTAACAGGTTTATTTTAAGAATTGTTTAGAAAATGCTGTTGCTTCAGGTTCTTAAAATCACAGTGCTTCAATTCTAATCAAATTGTTGGAGGCTTACCAGAGTTGGTCTGAGCTCACACTAGGAAAAAAAAGCCACTGGATCCTTTCCAATATAGATGTGCAAAAATTGCTCACTTGAAAGGTCAAAATATAACCAGATCCAAATCACCCCTGAGAATTCTCAGTATCTCTGTGTTGATGTTCTTTTCTGTATAAAGTTCACTCTAGGATTTTGAAGTAACCACCTATTTTACTACATACTAGTCATGTGAAATTTGACGTTATTTTGTAGTAAATAGCTAATTTTATTTGTAATTTACTGTGTTGATCAAAACTTTTGTGAGTGTTTGGCATTTATTAAATAAATAGAGTTTATTTGATTAATGACTTAGTATTCCCTTTCCTACTAGATTTTGCCTCTTCCTTTGGTTAGGGGTAGAGGTGAGGTGACTGTAGTAAGTGAATATAATGTGGCTATGTTATGGCATTTTGTTGTTTTGGTATTTTAAATGTGTATTTTTTTCTGTTTTAATTTTAGTAAGTAAAATTTATATCTTGAGCTCTCTTAATGGAAACTACCACTCCAGCATTAGCTGCATGTATTGTTCTTATTAGACCTAAATCATTGTTTTACTTCTGACTGCCTAGGTACTGAATAAGAGGAGAAATGAAATAGATTGTATGTCATTGCTATTAGAGAAATAAGAAAATGGAGAAATATTTGACCCATAGCATTTTAGTCATATCTGCTCTTTTTAAGAAGATAGCCATCAGTGAAGAAATGAGCTGGCCGTATAGACTTTACAGCCTAAATTCAAATCTCCAGAACCCACATAAAAACTTGGTGTAATAGCCCAAGCATCTGTAATCATAGAATGCCTTCACAAAACAGGAAGCAGATGGCAGAATGTCCAGAAGTTCAAGGTCAGCTAATTTGGCTTAGGCATTAGCAAAGAGTCACTGTTAAACATGGTAGGAAGGTGAGGGCCCACCAACACACAAACCTCCACTCATGCATCATAGCAGGTATCCCACGTGCACCTAGACATGTACACAAAAGAGAAAAAAAATAGCCACCTGTAAGATGAGAATGTTACCTTAACAGATGATGGAACTCAACTCAATAAGAGCATATCTTATATGTCATAAGTTTAACTCCCATGCTAAAACTTTTTATTTCCAAGACAGAATTTCTCTGTGTAACAGTCCTGGCTGTCCTGGAACTCACTCTGTAGATCAGGCTGACCTTGAACTCACAGAGATCTGACTGTGTGCCTCTGTGAGTGCTGGGATTAAAGCTGTGCACCCCCATTGCCCAGCAAGCCTAGACCTTCTATGGTTTTGCTTTGATGGAAGACCTTGGACTAAAGCTTAAAAGATAGCCTGGAAAAGATAACCACTAAGAGTACTTGCTGCTTCTTCAGAGGACCATGGTCCACTTATCAGTACCCACATGGTGGCTCACAACCGCAGCTCCAGCTACAGTCTATCTGGTGCCCTCTTCTGGCTGAAATGGGCACCTACATGCATGCACACATACACATGAAATAATTTTTAAATCTTAAGTGACTCATTTTAGTCACTATTACTCATTTTTCTGGGTGCTTCTTATAATGAGGCTAAAAGTTGCAATAAATAAATAGATCAATCCTTTAAAATATTTAAATTCATTTTTCAAAAACTAGAAAAATATTCTTACTAAATTCAGTTGAGTTTTTCTAATGGGAATAATTATTCCCATCATAATATTTCAGTTTGGCTCTGAAACATTCAGCACAACATAGATTTCTTCCTTACATAATAACATCACAGACCATCAGAGCTAGAAATTACTTTAGAGAGTAGCTTGTTCGCACCACCACCACCCTCGTTTTATCATAGAGGTAGGTCCCTTTACTGGGTCATAATTTGAAGTTGTACATCCCCGCACCACAGCAACTACCTGTCCTGGGAAGTCTCAGATGTTTAGTTTTCAACAATTTATTCCACTTTGCTCTAATTTTCACTGCACAATAAGTGGTGCTTTACAGTTGTTACAGTAGGACAATCTCTAATATAAATTGAATAATATTAATGCTTGAGTGATAAAGTTCCTGTTTGGAGGCTGAAGTTCGCAGCTATGAGTACAGATCTTTGACATTTACTATGTGCTTATGTATCACTAGTGTAGCATTTAAGATTACTGTCTAAGTTTATCTTATCACTCTGTCAGTACTTACCAACTGGCTTGCATTTTAAATTTGATGTTAATAATGGCTTTAATGTTGTTTCTGGTTTTGCATTTTTGTTATTGTACTTCACCTGACAGAATGACCAATTCTTTTGTTAGTGTTGTTAAGAATTATGTTAAGCATTTTGAGACAGAATGCTATGTTTGTGAATATAATTTTATGGCTTATTTTCATTTAAAGGATACCTTTCAGTATGGAAATTTATGAAAATTGCTTTCTGCCCTATAATCTGTCATTTGTTGTAGATTAAAGCTTATTTTTCTGTGAATAAGACTTATTCAATAAAGCACTATTCTTTAAAATGATATCTTCTTTGTATTTGATTTTTGCCTTGTTGAGACAGGATTTCATGTATCAACCCAGGCTACTGGCCTTAAACTCAGTATGTGGATGAATAACTTTGAACTTCTGATCTTCTGATTCTTCTTTCCCCACTTCCCTAGTGCTGATATATGCAGTATTAAGGATTAAATGCAGTACTTCCTGCATGTTAAGTTCTACCAACTAAGGTAGATTGAACTCAGGTCAGCAGGCTTGGCAGCAAGTACCCTTACCCGCTGAACCACACAAACACACAGACACATAGTCCTCTTCAAGATACATTGTACACATAGTTAAAAGTAATGAGCCAGCAATTATACCACAAGGACATGTGCTCAACCATGTTCATAGCCACATTGTTTGTCATAGCCAGAACCTAGATACAACTTAAATGCCTGTTGACCGAAGAATGGATAAGGAAAATGTGGTACATTTATGCAGTGGAGTACTACACAGCAGAGAAAAATAATGACATCTTGAATTATGCAGGGAAATGGATGGATCTAGAAAACATTGAGTGAGGTAACCCAGACTCGACAATTATCATGTTTTCACTCGTAAGTGGGTTTTAAACATAAAGCAAAGGAAATCAGCCTACAAATCACAATCCCAGAGAACCTAAGACAACAATGAGGACCCTAAGAGAGACATACATGGATCTATTCTACATGGGAAGTAGAAAAAGACAAGATCTGAGTAAATTGGGAGCATGGGGACCATGGGAGAGGGTTGAAGGGGATGGGAGAGTCAAGAAGGGGAGCAGAGAAAAATTTATAGCTCAGTAAAATAAAAAAAAAGTAATGAGCCAGGCAGTGGTGGTGCATATATGAGTACCAGAACAGCCAGGGCTACACAGAAACTGTCTCCAAAAACCACAAAATGGTAATGAATCTTTTAAAAAGTACGTTAAAATAGGGCCAGAAATGTAGCTCAGTGGCATAGCACCTGCCTAGCATACATGAGAACCTAGGTTTAACCCACAACACCACAAAAAATAAAATAAAATAAAATGTTAATAGTTGTGGCTGGAGAGATGGCTTAGTGGTTAAGAGCACAGACTATGCTTCCAGAGGTCCTGAGTTCAATTCCCAGTAACTACGTGGCGGATCACAACCATCTGTAACAATATCTGGCGCCCTCTTCTGGTCTGCAGGCAGAACACTATACATAATAAATTTTTAAAATACATAGTTAACATCACTCTCCTCACAGAGTAGCTTGTTTGTATTCAAAGATCATACTGTCACTGTGAAACCAAAGTTCAACAAGCAAGTAGTAAGGAATCTAAGAACCACTGCCCCATTGAGGCAGGCAGCAACGAGGGATTTTTGTGAGCTAGGGTACGTTCTAGCCAGAGTTTCAGAATGTGAGAGCAATTTGGTCTGATGTAGGTTCCCTAGGCATAAATTCACAAGTAGCTATTTCAAGTGACTATTGGCCTTCTAATCCACAATACAGATTCTTAAATGAAGAATTATATTCCAGCCGGGTGTGATGGCACATGCTCTTAAACCAAGCAGACGTGGTAAAGAACGTAAAGACGTGGGGAGTTCAAGGCCAAATAAGGATACATGAGACCTGTTTTCAAAAAGAGGTATTTCAGGCCATCTGTGTAGGGACTGGTTAATCTTTGACAGTATTATCACTGTCAAAAATCATTGACATTATCAAAAAAAACAAACAGAAGACTTTTACCAACACATCCGGCTTTGAGGTAGGTTCTTAATCTCTAGTCCCAGCTGGATTTAAACTCAGCAATCCCTTTGCCTTGGCCTCATAAGTATTGAAACTGCAGGCATGAACCACTATACTCCCTTTTAAAAAATGTTCTACATACAGTATATATTTGAACTTGGTAATGAAAATATTGTAACTCAGTACTAAGTTCAGAAAGATCTCAAATTGTTTCTTGCACTGCCCTGAGCAAGGGCTGGCAAGATGGTTGACCAGGAAAAAGACACTACAAACCTGATGACTGATCCTCAGAACCTATAGGGCAGAAGAAAAACTGCGTGTTTTCCTCTGACTTCCCCATACGTACTAGGGCACGTGTCTGTGTGTGTATGTGTGCGTGCATGCATGCACATATGTGTCACACACAAATATGAGTTTATAAAACTAGCCTTTGATCAAGCAATGAAAGAGTTAAGGATTTGGAAGCTCAGCTCTAAGTGCTGGAGGCTGACAGCAACCGGATGAGATTGTACAGAACAGCGCTGCACTTCTACACAGCCAACACTTCAGTGAAATGCGAGCCGTTAATTTGGACGGAAAGAATTTCAGAGTTGGAAGGAGTCGGCCTTTCTAATTCATAATAATTAACAGTTCTGATTCTTTTTTAGTTTGAAATATTTCAAGTGTGGCACAAAAGAAAGCAGATAAGAGGTCTCAGTCTTCTATAGATGATGAGTTGTGTAAATTGATGACGTTGGTCTATATTGCAACTAAAGTAACAATTTCGATAGGTATAAGGCTAGATGACAGTTTAGTATGTCAAGTCTTAAGTTTGTATGAGATTTCCAAGACAATGTAATGGTTCATAATTAATGACAACAGCACAGAAAATCTTTTGCATGGGCCTATACTAGTTAACCTTAAGCTTCTGTATAGATATCAGAAGAATACTGGCTTCAAATAAATAAATAAGAACCCAGGAGAATCAGATTTTCATTATTTTGTTCTTTCCACTGAAGAATTTAAACTGAGGAAAATCTAAAATATAACTAATTGAGATACTGTGTATTGAATCAGTGCTATTGTTCCAAAACCTAATTTCTTCCTGAGACAGGATCCAATGGAGCTCAGGCTGGCCAGCAGGGATTACAGGCATACATGCACCATAATGTCTGACTTTCAAAATCTCATTGCAATAACTTTTACTGTCAATATGTATGTATGTATTTAGATAGATAAAGTCAGCATTTCCCAGGATCAAACCTAGAGATTCACTTATAGTAAGAAAATACTCCATCACCAAACTCTACACCTACTGCCCCAAATATGTATTTTACACTTAAAATTACCAACATATATTTTAAGATTGATTTATTTTCATGTACATTGGTGTTTTGCCTGCATGTATATTTCTGTGAGAGTGCCAGAACCCCTGGGATTGGAGTTCAGTTATGAGCTGCCTTCTGGGTGCTGGGAGTTGAACTTGGGTCCTCTTGAAGAGGCGCCAATGCTCTTAATTGAGCTATCTCTCCAGTCCCCTTCCCAATGTACATTTTAAAAATAAACTTTCATTGTTATATCCATTTCTCGTGTGTGTGTGTCTGTCTGTCTGTCTGTCTATCTGTCTTTGTGCTTGAGCACAGTGTCATTCCTTAGCTTTATTACATTAATAGATGATTATTACTAGGAGTTTTTATAGAGAGTTACATTTTTGGCTAAAGCATCAAAAATGTTTTTTCTCATTAAATACTGGAACTTACTTTGTGAGAAATTAGGCTGTGCTTCTGCAAGATCAGTAACAACTGTCTTGAGGCAAAAGAAAGAACGGAATACTTGAGAGCGTGTGAAAAGCAACTGATGTTTCCAAGGAATTGCTATTCAAACAAGAGACTCCAAATCCCCACCCCCATAAAATCTTTTGTCTTTTTTTTTTAAATTAATCTTCTGAAATAGGGAAAAACTTTCTAAAATTTTATTTCTTAGAATATTCAAACATGGATCATGGCTTTCTTGGTAAAAAATTAGCAAATGTTTGTGTTAATCATTAAGAGTATGTCCTAACACATCTGGAAAAACCTGTTTTTCTTTCAACTACATTTTATTTGATTATTAAAATAATCTACTTCTTGGCTCTACTTCTTGGCTTTCTGTTATAAACTTTTCAGCTATGTTATATTTTATGTGAGCTGTAAGGCTTGATGGAAAAGACAAGTGCTAGCAGTAGTTATAAATCAGTGTTTTTTTCACTTACATGAAATGAGCATAACAAGAACTATTCAGACATGGGTATAACCATTCCTGTTCCTCCTGCCTTGTGTGATTGTGAAGACCATGTGAAAAATCGTACATGAAAGAGAGTTAAAAGGAATAAACCCTCAGTGAGCCTGAGGGATCCGTCCTCTAATTAGAGTGTATTGAACTAATTACAGGTTCGTTTGACACAAAATGGAGCTGTTGAGGACCTGTGCCTGATTAATCAGGGGTCTAGGATGATGAAATGCGTTCGTGGCCATTTTCATAGCTCTCAAAATGCTTTACATCTAGTTTCTCTTTGCGTGGTCATGTGTTGTGCTTAAATCAGAAGAATGTGTAATGGCTCGGGGCGGGGGGCGGGTTGGGGAAAATTGTTGCTCTCTGAAATCATAAAAAACTATGTTCTTAAATCCAGACATTCAATTGACCGTCACATAGGGAAGTAGGGACATAGCTCAGTGATAGAGCACTTTGCCTAGCAGGTTTGAGGCCCTGGGTTCAATTCCCAGCACTGTAAGAAGAGCAGCAAGCCAGTAGTGACCCTCACATAAGAATTTGGGGGAGTCAAATCACTTTTCTAACATATGATCATGAGAATATGTAAAACATTTAGGCATGATAATTTGTGTCCTCACCGGATTTCTTGATAATTTTCAAAGTGCTTTACCTACTTCGTTTTACAACTTCCCCCTGAAATGAACAGTTATTCATAATTTTGAAAGTAGTGAAAAGGCCACAGGGAAGTTAGGTAACTTGCCTAACTCATGCAGGCAAATAGAGGCAAAGCCACAAGAGCCTTTACTCCTGTTGCATTTATTCATTTATTTCATACCTATGTGGGTGTGCATGCCACAGAAGCCATGTGGATGTCAGAGGACTGCTTGGGGGAATTGGTCTCTACTCCCACCATGTGCGACCCAGGATTTGTACTCAAGTGGTCAAGCTTGGCTACAAGTACCTTTACCCACTGAGTCATCTCAGCCACCCAAGAGCCCTTACTTGGTTACTCTGGTACTCTTAATACCCTGCCATCATGCGTCTCATTTCTTATATTTGC